ATATAGAGAGAGAGAGAGCGAGAGAGTCTACTTTGTTTCGTTCCTGGCTTTGTTTGGGATCCCGGCTGGCATGCTGGAGTCGGCTGGGGCAGTCGCACCACCCACGCCGAGCATTGCCTTAGAAGGGCTTGATGAGGCTGTAGGATTCAGGGGTTTAGGGGCAGTTTAGGGTTAAGAGTTCAGGGTTTAGGGCTTACGGTTTTGAGTTTAGCAGTTGAGGGTTCAGTGATGGAGTTCAGGGGTTGAGGGTTTAAAGTCTAGGGTTCGGGATTTAGGATTTGGAGTTCAGGGGTGGGGTTTAGGGCCTCTGGTGACGGTGCAGGGGCTTAGGGCTTATGCAGAGCTTTAGGGTTTTCGGCTTCGGTTTTGGGTTAGTTAGGTATTAGAAGAGCGCTCTTGGCTTTTCTTTGCTTTGTCCATGTCAGGTGTAGTTTGAAAAAACACATCAGGAATACTACTCAGTGATCAATAAAAAGAAGGTTGACGAGAGACTGTTGAGCTTTTGAAGTATCGAACGGCTTGATGCTTCTGTTTCATGATTCCCAAGCGTGGGTTGCTAAGGGTCTTAGCATTTCAAGCGTTTTGAGATTATGAGCAGGTAACCTGGGCTTTGAAGTAACCGGGGAGAAAAAAGTATAGACTTTTATTTCAGAATGGTTCCTTTAAGGAACAGGTCCCAAAAAAATATTAAAGAATGGCACTCCAGAACCCAGCGTGACCACCCTAAACCCTAAACCGGGACGAAGCCGTCTGTTCCACATCCTGCCGATTCACAGCAGAACCAGGATGCTGCACACATGCCCAGCTGTAGGCTTCTGAGGATTTGGGGCTTTTCAGATTTAGAGTTTAAGGTTTAGAGGTGGAGGACGTTGGATTTTGGCAAGGGCGTTTGGAACAAGGACGCTTCTGCCAAGTTCCATAGCAATTGGGGGGTCGTGAACCACAAACTAGACATTGATCCTCTTCCCCTAGACCCTAAACCCTAAACCCTAAGCCCTAAACCCTAAACCCAAACCCCAAACCCCAAACCCTAGACTCCTAGACCCTCAACCCTAAACACCGCAACAATTTCTGGCGGGGTCCTGGGAAGTACAGGTTCAGGCATGAACCAGAAGTTCTAGAACCCTAGGGTTTCGGGTTTAGGGCTTAGGGCTTAGGATCTAGGGTTTAGGGGCTTAGGGGTTTCGGGGTTTCAGGTTTAGGGTTTCGGGTTTAGGGTTTTGGGTTTAGGATCTAGGGTTTAGGGGCTTAGGGGTTTCGGGGTTTTAGGTTTAGGGTTTCGGGTTGTGGGTTTAGGGCTTTAGAGCCCAAATCTAGTCGATTTCTTCTCCCTGTTGCTCAGAATCTCAGCCTGAAGACAGCCCGAAAAGCTTTTCTACTGCTCCTCCAATACAGCGACAGTCTTTTAGATGGCTACTGTTAAGGGCTTTGTATATCTATAACGAAGGGGCCTTAATAATTGGAAGTAGGGTTTTCAGGCCCACTATACTATAGTTGCAAAAAGGAACCCCCAAAATAATATCGGTAATTATCTAGGCCTCTATATTATTGTCAATACTGTTCAACCGTTGTTGAGCGGGGGCAGAATCCAACCCAACGCCTCAAAGCCACAAAAAACGCCAACCCTCCGCCATCAAGCTATTCTAGCCGGACCCTACACCCTAAACCCTGCTTTGAACCCTAAACCCATAAACCCTAAACCCCTAAACCCCAAAGCCGTAAACCCTAACACCCGAAGCCCTTTGTATCCACTGCTTCTACCTACTTCGAGGGTGGGAGACTTAGTAAGTAGGTAAAATAAGTAGACTTATAAGTACACTAAAAGGGACCCTAATTGGGGTTAAAGTGCTTGCATCGAAAAAATATTCATTTACTAAGTCCCCCGACCCTCCAAGAATACCGAACTACACATCAAGCCCTGAACCCGAAAGCCGGAAGCTAGAGCCAAAGCCCATGAGCCCTAAACCTCAAAGATTTGAAGCCTTAAATCTCATTTAGGGTTTAGGGTTTAAGGGTTTGAGGTTTAGGGCTTGAGGGTTTAAGGGTTTAGGCATTAGGGCTTAAGGGTTTAAGGGTTTAGAGTTTTGGGGTTTAGGGCTTCGGCACCCAGAACCTCTAGAAAGCCCTATAAGAATCCTATGCACCCTGCAAACCTTGCCATACCCCTGAAGAGTACATGCGACCCCCTTACTCACCAGGGCCCAGGCCATTGCAAACAGAGAGCCTCGCAAATTTCAGCTGCAGAGCCGAACCCTTTTGAGCCAAGGCTCGGCAGAAGTCAGAGGGGCCTTCATGATTAGAATAGGGTCTTGGAGGGGGGTATAATCAGAACCCCCAAAATAGTATTGGTAACTATCTAGGCCCCCTAAACCCTAAACCCTAAACTCTAAACCCCTACATTATTTTGAGGTCGTCTTGAGGCCTTTAGCTTTCTGAATCTTCACGAACTTCATCCCGGGGGGGTTCATATCTTCGGGTTTCGGCTCGGGATTTTGGGTGCAGGGGTTCGGGGTTTGGGCTTGGGGGTGTCAAGGCCTGGAAGTTTGGGGTTTGGGGTTTAGGGTCTTGGGTTTAGGGTCTGGGGTTTAGGGTTGAGGATTTAGGGTCTAGGGTTTAGGGTTTAGAGTTCAGGGTCTAGGGTTTAGAGGTTTATAGGGTTTATGGCTCCAGAAGGATCCGGGGTTTAGGGAATATCATTTTAGGGTTGAGGGTTTATAGGGGCTTTGTTTTACCGTATAGCGTGTAGGGGCTTCGGGAATTTAGGGTTAAGGGTTACGCGCCAAAAAAACTGCATGAGCAGTGGGCTTGAACAAGTATCTATTTGCACCACCCGTAGAAAACCGGGGCCAGAATTATTAGAATGGGGTTTTGGTTGGCATATCATAGTATAAGCAAAGTATTGAATCTGCAGGAACAGTATTGCAAATTACTCCTAATTTAGTTATTCTGGCTTCTACGCTGGTCACGCTGGTCGAAAGCCGGTACCAGACCTGATGTTGTTTTACCACCACTACTACTTCGCACTCTTTTACTATATACTACTAGCACTCCGACTATTGCGACTAGAACTACGAGTGCGACGACGACAACGACGACGACTACTGCCAGCACTAGTACTACTGTGCCACGAGCACTACGCCACCTGCTGCCAGGTCCCGGAACTCTTATTACTGAAATGGCCTTCGTGTTGGAACATGTTGGAACGCATTCTAGCCCCTGCAAACACAATTATTTGACTGAGGCGGGCTCGTGGTGAGACTTTGCCTGCAAGACTTCTGGCACCGAGGAGCTTATGCTACTGTAGGTAAACGCCTTGCTGTAGCATTGCTGTCGTCGTAGAAGCGGA